GTATCATAGTGCTGTTTGACACAGAGAGAGAAAGACAGATTGGCTGTGTCTGAAACAAAGTAACTGCGGCCCAATCACTCATATTTATATGTATATATAAATACAAATACATGCATGTATATATTTAAGAAAAATATGTTATGTTTATATTTTTGTATGTAGGTAAACGTTAAGGCAGGATTCCTCATATCTGACCCTGGAGTGCTACTGCCTTGAGTTCAGCTCAAACCCTGATCAAACTCAACTCCCAGTAATTGTCTAGTAATTCTGAAGACCTTACTTAGCCTGTGTCTTTGATTAGAGTTGGAGTTAAACTCTGGAGGGCAGTGGCCCTCCATGGCTGGATATGAGGAACAAGATTTTAAAGGGGTCATATAATGCTACATGCACTTTTACAAGTCGTTTGAACTGAAATGTGTGCCCCCGATCTGCCTAAATGCGTCTATGTTCGCGTGAATCATTCGTGATCCAGCTTCACCTACAGAAGAAGTGTGTATGGTTTTTTTAACGAATCTTTGCAAATCGCATTTCCTAATAATATATATAAATACAAGTTTCACGATGAATGCAGCTAAAGTAAACAGTCTCTCTGCGAGCTGCTCAGAAGAGAGGGGCGGGGTCAGCAGAGCTCATTAACATTTAAAGGAAAATGCTACAAATCTGCATGCTCTGAAAAGAGCTGTTTTTGACAGGGTAAAAAAGGTGTTTTTTACACTACCATTGAGAAATTTTAACCAAACTATGTTACAGACTTTTCATTAAGACCCTAAAGAATCATATCAACTTGTGGAAAATGGGCATCCTATGACCCCTTTAAACAGGCTTCAAAAACCTTTTAACCTCAGATGTGTTGATACCCACCTATTTCTCTGTAGATAATTACTTTTTTTTTAAACCGCTCCATCAGACACTTTTCAAGTAACCACTGAACCACATACACAGGGTTGTGGGATATCATAAATGGGGAACGATATGTCCAATGTTTCGACCAAATGGAGGCATTTCAGTAGTAGGGGGCGCACCGAATGGTGAACTAGTTTTGCTGCTAGTCGACGCGTTGGATGCAAACCAACAGTACACATTTTGCATGTCTTAATCTGACTTATCTATTTCAGGTGTTGGTGTCTCTATTATAAGCTGAAAAGTTCAATCAGGTGTGTTTGAGTAGGAAGAATTCAAAAATGTCTATTGTACTTTTGTACAGGAACAGGGTTGGGGGAACACCGGGGTAAAAAGCACAATGGCCATCTGAGATGGGAGATGGGTTGTCCAATCCAGCTCATGGAGAGGCACCTTCCTGCAGAGTCTGACAGAAACTTAAGGGTGGAATACAACTATATGATTTTTGCCTAGAATTTGTTGCCCCAATATACAGTTGGGGGGGAGTGGATGCTAGTTGCCAACAGTCAGAACCAGTCTGCAGATTTTGTAGACTGGTTGAGTGTGGCTAGAATTTCAAAGAAAATGTTTTTTTCTTTATGGGCACAGATTTATGGAGGCATTTCAGTAGTAGGGGGCGCACCGAATGGTGAACTAGTTTTGCTGCTAGTCGACGCGTTGGATGCAAACCAACAGTACACATTTTGCATGTCTTAATCTGACTTATCTATTTCAGGTGTTGGTGTCTCTATTATAAGCTGAAAAGTTCAATCAGGTGTGTTTGAGTAGGAAGAATTCAAAAATGTCTATTGTACTTTTGTACTTTTGTACAGGAACAGGGTTGGGGGAACACCGGGGTAAAAAGCACAATGGCCATCTGAGATGGGAGATGGGTTGTCCAATCCAGCTCATGGAGAGGCACCTTCCTGCAGAGTCTGACAGAAACTTAAGGGTGGAATACAACTATATGATTTTTGCCTAGAATTTGTTGCCCCAATGTACAGTTGGGGGGGAGTGGATGCTAGTTGCCAACAGTCAGAACCAGTCTGCAGATTTTGTAGACTGGTTGAGTGTGGCTAGAATTTAAAAGAAAATGTTTTTTTCTTTATGGGCACAGATTTTTTTTTTTAGCTTCAGAATATGATTCTAGAGGCACAGATTTTTTTTTAGCTTCAGAATATGATTCCATCCAGTTGTAAGGTATCAGACTTGTTTAATAGTTTGAGCAAATTTTAGAATAAATATTGTTTTCATTTGTCATGTGTATTCTATCAACAAATCATGTTTCTATGAAAGTCTGGTAGTGTGATCCTCAGTTGTTAAAGGGATAGTTTTAAAATTAGTCCATTATTTACTCACCCTCAAGCCATCCTAGGCGTGCGTATATGAATTCCTTCTTTCAGATGAATCCAATCGGAGTTATATTAAAAATTGACTTTGACCTTCCAAGCGGTTTAATGGCGTTAATCGAAATCCTCCGACATTCTTCTTTACAAATCCTTGTTTTGTACTTCTAATTCGTGACTGTTGTTTTGTTTTGAGCTCTCCCCTGCGTTTCCGCGTTCGTCACTTCTGAGCAGCGCATGCGCAAAGCTGACCTCATACGTCATCCGCCCGGAGCTGCTTCCATTTACAACAGTGAGCACAAGCTAGATTAAATTGATTATTTCGTTTTAAATATGGTTATTTTTCTGACAAAAACGCATCTATTCGCTACAGGACGCCTTTGTTCACCCCCCGGAGCCATGTGAGGCACTTTTTATTATGGATGTATGTGCTTTATTTCACTTGTTTTGGACTGATGCACTGCAACACCCGCTGACTGCCATTAAACAGCTCGGAAGATCAAAGA